GTTATTTTCCACTTAGGCATTCAAAGAATTATGAGTCTGAATTTTCCTCATCTGTCCCTGTTAATGCATTTGTAGCTTTCTCATTCATTTTTGTTCATTTCTTTGAGTCAATGATTAGAAGTCTTTGCTGATCAATTTTGATGTCTTCTTATAATCATGTTCCTAATGAATCACATGGTGGCCTTCTCTAGCCGTCCCAACATTTTTCTTTACTCATTTGTTACGTCTATCTTTGTTATCTGTGTGTTCGATAGTTGTGTCAATATTCATCTTAAACTTTTAATTTCGTCAAGTTAGCTAAAAACTTTATTTTGGTGACATTCAAGCCAAGCTTCCGTCACTCAGTGCCTCGCGCATGAGAAGCCAACTCGTGTCGTAATGAGTTGCACTTGTGACTAACTAGGCAAGATGTGTAGCTCATTTGCAAAGTGAGTCAAGAGTTGAAAGGATCTGTAGCTCATTTGCAAAGTGAGTCAAGAGTTGAAAGGATCTGTAAGTCTATTTCCTTAAAAACTTATTTTTATTTCATTCAAAAGTGGGTCATAAATTTATTAGAACTTTCTTTTTTTTAAAAAATGGAAATTGGGATTTGGAACGTCCAATTCAGATCACCGTTTCAGGTCCCAATTTTCATTCTAACAAATTTTTACTTTGAGAATAGTTTTGAAATGCATATAATATTTTTTAAATAAATGATAAAGTTCATTTTCCATTTCATCAAATATGGGGTTTTTTTTATTTGCATTTAAAACATGGTAAAATCATCTTTTATCTCTGTTTCTAATCTTTTCACATCCTTTAGACTTGGGCCCTCAAAAGTGAGTTGCTTTATGTATTTATTTATTATTATTAATTTTGGATAAGAATTAGACAAATTTTCGATATATATATTTATTTTAATAAAATTATTTAATTCTTTTAAATATTGTACAGTTTTTAGATTAAAAAAATGGGTACTTGAACAACAATTTCTTTCATTATTTAAAAAAAAAATTGACCAAAATAATGAAAATTTAATCATAAGAGATCCTTTTGGACTAAAACAAATCCACAGTAATGGGTAGGTTTTAATGCTGACATTCATTAAATATTTAAATACTTAATTCAATAATATTTTAATAAGTTCAAATTTCATTAAAAACACATTTTTTAAACGTTTATAATAAATTTGTGTGGGTTTAGACTCTAAATTTTTAGATTTGTATTTATAATAAAGTAAACATATTATTATTAATTAAGGCAATAAAACAAAATTAGCAGATGAAAAGTTATTTCATTTAATATTAAAATTTGGGAGGGACCATCATCATTTTTTTTAAACCAAATTATTTCTTAGTGCATATATTTTTTAATATTTCAATTGCTTTACTTTAAAAAAAAATTAATTAGAGTAATTAAAATAATATTAGAAAACCTTTTAATTTGTTGGCTTATACATTCAAAAATTAAATCAGATTTAATTAATAGATTGAAGTAGTCAAATTTATGTGACTTTGAAGTTTAATATAAATAAATTTTTTATTTTTTTATTTTTTTATTTATATGGTTGAGTATTAAGAGTGTGGATTAAGACGTAAATCATTTTTTTTTCTAATGATTGATTGAAGGTTTAAATATTTATATAAATATTCTTAGTAAAAGATTTACACGGATCTTCTCCATTGAAAGATCTCATATATGGATAATACACATTCCAGTTCAACGAGCCTAATTCTAATTGTTTTGTTCCGAAACACTGGATTCCAGCAGACCACGGAACGTCCTATTCATATATTCACGATCAAGAAACACTGAATTCTCTTTCGGGTAGGCCCTGAAAGAAGAAGGAAGATTGGAATGCCAATAGGCGTCTATTATTGAATTCACCCGACCTGATAGTATTCCATTTTTGGAACGTCTAGTGCCAAAATCACTAAATGGATAAGTCGCCCACCCCTAAAACGTAAATACTTCGAGAAATTATACATATATTTCTTAAGCTATAATCTCGTGTTTAAGGTGGATAGCTTTACAAGAGTTGTCGAGGCCAACATCCGCTCAAAAAGAGCGGACTAGACATGAGCGACACGAAAAATGAACCTGCAACAAAACTAAATAAGTGTCTTGCCTCAGGAAAGTGACTCGATTAAAATCTGCACGTGAGTTTCTGTGTTATTATTTAAAAGATAAAAAACATGGAAATAGTTTTAAATTTATTATTATTATTATTATTATTTTCGAAGATGACTCATAAAGAGATTCTTTTTAGCTTTTTTATTATTATTATTATTTATGGCTAAAATAAAATATAAAATATAATATTTTTTTTCCACTTGAGTCATTTCAAACCTAATTTAATTGATTAAATTATTAATTATTTTTTACCAAAATTAGAAAATTAGTAAATGAATTAAAAACTCAAAATGTGGGCACCGATTAAAATATTATCATTTTACCTAATTTGAACAATATTATCTTATCCTATAACACCAATATTTTTTTTATATTAATTAAAAATACCGAATTAATGGATGTATATTATAATTATGATTTTAGATTAAATTTGGACCTTCTAGAAGGAAAAAAAATTAGGCTTAGTAGTGATTGATTTTGATGAGAAGTGCTCTGCACGCGCTTTGGTAAAAAGCAAGAGCTTCTTGAATGACTTAGACATCATCACCGTTCAGATTCTGCCACGTGTAGTTTTGCTCAATCCAATGGGGAAGCTGACTGCGACCGCATGATATGCCGTGTGCATGCGATACACGTATTTGATTATATGAAAATGACAAAAATGGGCCCCTTTTCTGCCGCCTTACCTTCTCCGTGTCTGTGTAAAAAGGTCAAAAACCATGGATTTCTTTATTTATTTGTTTTTTCCCTTTTTTTTTTTTGTAAATTATCTTAAAACCATATTTGGAATATGGAAATTAAGATAATTAATTAAAAAATTGATTTTTTTTTTCACTTTTAATTTTAATTTTAATTTTTGTTTATTTCAACTCACCAAAATAGACATTAAAATTACGATAATTTTACTAATTAAAATATATATTTTTGATCAAGAGGTCAGAGATTCGAATCCAGCTATATCGATCTACACGTTATTGAACTTGGATCAACAAACGTTCTCTTCTCCACATCGGTTTGAGAAAAGAACGAAAGATTCCTTATAAGGGCGTGGAAGCCTCACATCAACATATGCGTTTTAAAATTATGAGACTAACAGCAATACGTAGCATGTCAAAACAGACAATATCTACTAGCAATGAGCTTGACTGTTATGATTTGAATTAAAGCTCGATTGAACTGATGGAGTTTAGTGTTCATATAGTTGTGTTCTCCGATCACTTATTTTCGTATTATTTCAACTTTTTTTAGATTAAAATTTCAATAATAATTTAGAAAATTATTTCACATTTTTTAAATAAATAAAAAAAAGAAAAAAAATGGTGGAATAATACTAATAATGTATTAACCGTTACAGAAAAAGAGAAATAATGTGTTTTAAAAAAGTAATGATTTTATATTAAAAGAAGTAATAATTAAAAAGGGTGGTGTTAGCAGTTAAAGTTAAAAGCGTTAGGGACGGACAGCTCATTTTCCAATTAAACGTAAAATAAATATATTTTTTAAAATATTTATTGAATAAATACTGACTAATTGCTTTTTGACTTTTGCTAAACTAGAGAACCACTTTTGTATCTTAAAAAACACTCTAATTTAGCTTTAATTTCAATTTCAATTTCATCCATGACTTTTAATTTAATTCTATTTATTGCGTCATCTTTTATTTTTTTCTTTTAAAATAATCTAACTATTAAAATATCGTGGATATTATAAATCAATAATATCTCTAAATTTTTTAAAATTTTTATTTTCGTAATTTATGGAAATAATTATTCGGATAAAAGAACATTATTGATGTCTGACGAACTCAATTACGCTCAAATTCATTAATTATTAATTTTTTTTATAAAAAAAAAATAGTCAGCATTTTTTTCATTTATATTTTTCTGGTGCTTTTTTCTAATTTTTTTCATGGAAAAAAAGGTAAATTTTAGGGCGGTCAAAAGCGTTGAAAAGAAAGAAAAAAAGAAAAAAGAAAAAAAAAAGTTATATTTTTGGAATTAGAAATTCAAATAAAGAATTGAAAAATGAATTCAACTTTTATCTGAAAAAAAAAATAAAGACTTTTCTTTTAATTTCATTATCAAATTACAAAATTACCCTTCTCAGATTGCGTGCAAGATTTCACTTTAATAAATCAACTTAACTTATCGTAATAAATAAGATGTTTATTTAATCTTCCAAATTTAATTAAGAATTAATTATGCTATTGAATTATAATTACGTTTTTTTTTTATATCAAATTATTTGTAAGAAATAAATTCAAACAAAAAGTCCAATATTTGCTAGCAGTGGTCTTGGGCGTTACAAATGATACTAGAGCCAGAAACCGAACGAGGTGTCAGCCTTCTCGTTGTTCCCTGAAGGAGGGTAGGCACAAGACGGGGTGTCAGTAAGGACGTTGGCCCCAAATGGGGTGGCTTGTGACGTCCCATATTTGTTGGGAAGAAGAACAAAACACCATTTATAAGAGTGTGGAAACTTTTTCCTAACAGGCGCGTTTTAAAGATTTGGGGAAACCCGAAATGAAAAGCCCAAAGAGGACAACATCTGCTAGCGGCACTCGTCCCGGAACCCAATAAAATAGAAATTAAAAAAATAATAATAATAAAAATGAAAAGGGTTGGGTATGTGTAGGAATTGGGTTGGACCTCTCTATTCCTTCTAGAGATACAAAATAAAATTCAAAATAAAATTCTTCAAAGACATCAATTCCTTCTAGAAGCCCATATTTGCATGTAGTTGTCAATTCCATTCACATATTTTTTAAAAAGCCCCAATATTTACACCAACTTTAGAAAATGACCCACAAAATTATTTATAATCCCAAAGGCAGCCCATGTTTTTTAACATTTTAGTCCTCGCCTTATAAAAGCCTCACCACACCACACCCTGCATTTCTTATTATTGCAAACTAAGCAAACTTTCTCTTTTCTTCTTCATTTCATTTTTTTTTTTTTTTTCACATTTGATCATCATTATGCTCTCAACTCCTTTCTTCTTCAACTTCCATCCTCACCAATATGGCACTCACATTGAGGATTTTTCATCTCAATTGCTCTTCGAGGCGACGGGCGACTCCGAGGCCGACTCCTTGGTCGGCCACGGAAGCTCGACCGTCTCGGTGGAGTTCAACGACGCTGAATCTTGCACGGATGAAACTCCTGCTATGCGTAACAAGGTCCAGACGTATGAAGACGATGACGATGACGATGACGAGAATGAGGAGGAGGTGGAAAGCAAGCCAATTGGATTCATGACAGAGTCAAGTGCTTCTATTGATTCAGCTGAGGAGTTCAAAATGTTGAATGAGGTGGAGAAAAACAGGTTGTTTTGGGAGACTTGTTTGGCTTCATAACAGAACAAATTTGGTTTTTTTTTTTTTTGTGTTCTTTAATGTTTGTTGTTGTTTGATGTTGAAAATGTACATGAAATTAAGAAATGGGTTCTTGCCTTGTTTTCTGGGTTCATTTAATGAACTCAGAAAAAAATGGTGACTTTTAAAGACAGAGTTCAAATCAAAATCTGCAACTTCCTTGGTCCTATGATTTTGTTCGGTTCGGTTGGTAGGTAGCTGTCATTGTTTTGAATCCATGATCTCAGATTTGTCTAAGCCGTAGCAGATATTAGTCTTTACGAATCGTGGCGATGTCTCCGTTCTAATGTGGTTAATCATCGTCTTGATTATGCTCATCTTACCAAATAACTAATTGGACTCGAGCTTGTAACCGCCTAAACCCACTGTTGGTAGATATGTCTACTTTGGCCTTGTGAAATCCCACATGCGTTGGGAAGGGAACGAAACATTCCTTATAATTCCTTACGAGAGTGTTGTGGAAACTTCTCCCTAATAGGCGTGTTTTAAAACCGTGAGGCTGATGAGACATGTAACGAGTCAAAGTAGACAATATCTGCTAGCAGTGGGCTTGGGCTATTATAATTAATATTAGAACCGAACAACGGGCAGTGTACCAGTGAAGACGTTGAGCCTCTAAGGGGAGGTGGACTGTGAGATCCCATGTCGGCTGGAGAAGGGAACGAAACGCATTCCTTCTAAAGGTACAGAAACCTTTTCGTAACAGACGTGTTTTAAAACCATGAGGTTGACAGTAATACGTAACAGGTAAAAGCGGACAATATCTGCTGACGGTGGGCTTGGGATGTTACAAATGGTATCAAGGACAGACATCGAACAGTGTGCTAGCGAGGACACTAAGCCCCAAGGGAGTGGTTGTGAGACCCTACATCAGTTGGAGAGGGGAACGAAGCGTTCCTTCTAAGGGTAAGGACCTCTCCGTAATAGATGCGCTTTAAAACCATGAGGCTAATAACAATACGTAATGAGCCAAAACGGACAATATCTTCCTTTTCATATCAAAGGAATAACACAGTCCAATCAACTAGAGAATCTTCAAGGTTAAGTTCGTTTCAATGACAAAAGAAACAAATTAAACGTGTTCAGCTCGAAGCTAAACTTTAGGAATCACAAAAACACACAAACAAGCAATCCTTTCGATTTTTTTTTTTCCGGTCAAAGCCTCTCGCTAAACATCGTGCTATGATACAAAAAAAAGCAAGCATCACTTTGAACTACTGCAAAGAAACCATATCTCGAAATACTATCATCGTCGTCGTCGTCATCGATGAGAGCTGTTACACCGAGTCGTTAGAAGCAACAACCATGGATGTCAACGAAGCGGGTTCCCTCATCTTGTCATCCATATGAATATCAATGAAGTTTTTACATGCTATGGAGACGAGTTCTTTGTGAATGCTTTGTCCCTCCTCTTCGTGCAAACTCGTCGTGGAATCTTCTCCATCACTTGTACTACTAAGGCACGAGTTTTCGTTTTTACTATCGGTGAACGAGATACTCAACTCGACGTTCAATCCCGAGCAGCTTCTTGGACTCAAATCTACGTCTAAATCGCCTTCTCGTCTTGCTGAAGATCTTCGAGTTTCGCTTTTGGTATCATCCAATTTCCTCAAGAAGCAGTCCTCAATCTCACTTAATGATCCCTCATCTTCATCTCCATCTTCATTGACATCATTCTCAATGTCGGAGTTCGGCCCTCCCGATTCGTCTCCGGTATCCATATCTTCCTGACTATTGAAATCTTCATCCATTTGCCGATCAGAAGAACGAGACGACATAGGCGAATATCCATCCGATGCAGCCTCTTCCCGCTCCCGTAACGTTTTCATAATCAGTGTTTTGAGTAAGTTCATCACTTGAACAGCATGCATTAGAGCCGTCAATGGATCAGACATCTATCCAACAAAAAACACAACATCATACAAGTGACAAATGAAAGTCGTATATTATGCTTCTATTACGCGCTGTCTCAGTTTATACCTGAGTCATGTTCGGAGCAAAAACCATAGCAATATTCCTTGCATTCATTTTGTTACAATCTTCTTCCTCAACAACATCAGCCATAAGATCCACAGCCCAACTCAACAACGCAGCCTCGGTTGGCTTTAACTTCTTAACGAGCTCGACCGACTCCTCTTCGGTGTTACATTGCAGAACTTCCTCAGGAGAGAGTCCATCGAGTACTCCAGACGGAAGCTCTCGAAACCAAGCTTTGATTAGGCCAGCCAAGCAGTGAACATCAATGTTTTGAGGTATAATCCCTCTATTCAACTTGTCCCTTACTTGCTCCTCTTGGCTGTTTTCGGGGTTTATCCGAAAAATCCCTTCAGCCTGCAGCAAACACATGAACATACAAATCATATACATAGCTAGCAATGCGCCATTAACGACACGACACACGACAATTCGATACCTTAAGGCCTCCTTGACGGTACAAGCGATCCTGCATTAGCAAGAGTATTCTTGGTACACTATTTCCTCTTGAATCAGTAGAACATTGCATTGATTCAGCAGAGACCCCAAACACACTGGCACTGCAAAGTTAAGATATGCTCATAATTCAGCTGAACATTAAGAACAGAGTAAACTAAATGATGTCGTGATGTCGGGATGTCGGGACCCCACTAATCACCAAAAGGCTCCTCCCTCACACCGCAAGAACAGCTCCAAGACAGAGCATTGTCATAGTCCGTGACATTATTCAATGTTCATTCTAAATCCCAGGAAGTTGTCTTAATTGAGTGGAAGAACATTGTTGTTAAAACGAATTCCATACGTAACAGACTCAAGTCCACCGCTAGCAGATATTGTCCTTTATGGACTTTCCCTTTCGGACTTACTTTAAGGTTTTTAAAACGCATCTCTGCTAGGGAAAGGTTTTCATGTAAAGGGTGTTTCTTTCTCCTCCCCAACCAATGCGAGAGTACCCAAACTATTTCATGCTATAATCCACCCATTCATCTCCAAAAAAAAAAAAAAGGCTAAAAACTTGGACGAAGAGACTCTAAAACTGAAAAGCCAAGAAAAAGGCTCAAATTAGCCAACATTTGAAGTGAATAAGCAAAGAGTTAAGTCTTTTTAGCAAATGAGCTCCCTTAACAAAGGCAAATATGGCAAGTTTCCAACCAAAATGCTCCAAGTTGAGCCCAAAAAATGACAACCCAACAAAACATTTGAACTAAAAAAGCTAAGATTCAGCTCCTTAGAAACAAATAAGCTCATTTCAAAGTAAAAATCTCAAGATTGAGGACATAAAACAAGAAACCCAACAAAGAAATGAACTCAAAATAGCTAAGTTTAGAACCAAACAACCAAAAAACAGAGGAAATTCCTCACCTGGCACTAGGAACAGAGCTGGGAATCTCAACCTCAAACTCGACAGGAAGCCCCAAAAAACCATTGAAGCGGTCGAAAGTGACATGGGCAATATGTCGAACATTTGTCGGCCATCCAATTTCCATCTGATGGACAGTGGAGATAAGCTCCTCCCGGCGATCAACACGGCAATAAACCATCGATTTCCTCAACGCCGTGAGCAAAACATCGACCAAAGAGATCTGATTTTGGTCATCACTGACGGAGGAGCCCTTGGCTCCTCCTTTGACCATTTTGGTGCCTCCGCCGCAGCCGCCGCCCCTAGTGACCATGACAATGCCGGTCATTCTCTTGGTCGTTCGCCGATTTGGGTGGGGGTTTTGAAAATGTGAGAGATGGGTTTGGTTGCTTGTTTTTATTGCATTGAAGGAAGCCCTCTTCCCGTGTCTTTGTGTCGCTACGGTTCTTCGAAGTTAAACAAATTTCAAAAAAAAGGTCTCAAACGGCCACTTCACATTTCAAAAAAACGCTTTTTTATGTGCTCTCTTCTATCTGCGCTCACCACCGTTATTATTTTATTATTTTTTTTACTCCTCTCTCAACGTTAAAAAATAAATTTAATAAAATATTAAAACTTCAATTTTATATTTAATAAATAATCTCTATTTTTTAATGGGTTTTTAAAATTAATTGATTTATGTATAAATATCCATGAATTTTTTAAATAAAATATTAATACGTCAATAATTTATTAGATACAAAATTAAAAATTTAATAACAGGACACAAAGGGAATTATTAATGAGAATTTAAGCGGATGTGTGTGGAGAATTTAATTTGCGAGCTTCATTAATTATAACAAATGGACTTTGAAGCTCAATAAAATTAGGTAAAATTAGGACCCAAATATTCCTTTTACATATATTAATGACATAATCATGATGTCATAAATTAATTATAACTCATTTATGCATTTTTTTTTAATTTAAAAAAATTGATTTTTTTGGGTGACTTCTGAGTTTTTTAGTTTATTTTTCACTAATTTTTTTTATTTCTTATAAGAATAACTTCTCTCTAGTAGATAGTTTTAAAATTGTGAGATTGACAGTCATACGTAATAGGCTAAAACAAACAATATCTATTAACGGTGGGTTTGGGCTATTTAAGGCGGTGTGCTAACGAGGACACCATACCACCAGACGCTGAGCCTCTAAGGGTGTGGATGTGAGATCTATTTCTTATAATAAAGGCGTGAAATCTCTCGATTATCAGAAATTTAAAAAACGAACCATTAAATGTTAGAAAATAAATTGGAATGGGCCTTGGGCACTTCAAATATAAAAATTGGATTTTTTACTGTTGAGGGACAAATGTGGACAAGCTTGATATTTCCAAGGTTGTAATTTGCTTTTTTGTGCCAATTTCAATTATTATTGTCCTTTTTTTTTCAACAATTTTATTGTCATTATATTATTTATCAAAAGTTTGTCTTTAATAATGTAATATAGTAATTGTCACATCAACAAACTGATAGATTAGAATTAATAAATTAAAGTATTTTTTTAATTTAATCACATGTTTTGTTTTATATTATAATTTATGAAAAATATAAAAATTATAGATTTTTTTTTTTTTTTTTTGCAATATTATTAATTAAAATTAACGGGTGAATTAGTAAATTCAAATAAATAGTAAAAAAAATGAAATTAAAAGGAAAATGAATATAAGCAGTAAAAAGTAATTAATATTATTT